GCACTCCCAGGGTGATTGAGAAATCTTGGATTTACAACCCCAAAACATTTAGAGGGCCTCAAACTACAGAAAGTGTGGTAGAATCTGATCTTGTTACCACAAAAAAGTATTGAAAAGGTGGAAGGGCAGTAATAATTGCAAGAAATATTTCCTCGGATGGTCCTTCTGATTGAAGCTTAAGGCTTCTGCCTTTTCTGCCTGGTTTTCCGTGTTTTGCCATCCTAGGTGGGACACCAGTGTATGAAAATCACAGACCACTGGTGTGCCAGGCAATCCAGATTGGATGCTGTTCCTTCCAGAATGTGCTATATGCTAGCAACAATCACTTGAAAGGAAAAACAAACATTAGTGAAGGGAAAGTAGCGAAGAACAGATGAGATGTGCTTCAACTAGGGATGCTGTGGGGAAACATTTGCGTATATTTGTTGGAACGCAGTGAACATGTTTTAATGAGTCTCCCTCCCAATTACCATGACAAGGATGCCTGGCAGTGACAGCAGGGTGGTGGAGATGGAGAGAGCCCTCTGCCAGTTTGGGATGGGTGGGGGGATGAGGGTGGAGAAAAACAGGGAAGGGCCATGAGGCAGTAATTGGAGTGTGCATCTCATTGAACATTGGCTGGAAATCAAAGGCCAAGTCCCCTTAGTACCTGTACTCTCCCTCTCTCCACTGTAAGCACAGCACTCCCTTTGCTCAGATTCAGGATGAAAATGACATTTACATGCTGTGCGCTGAGATCCCAATTAAAGCTAGGACAGCTCACCACATGGCATGCTTTAATTAATATGCCTTTTCCTGTTGGAGAACAGCTTTGCTGACAGATTGTGACTAAGTGGGGAGAGCAGCTGCTCCTAGGCTGGCTGCTGCTTCCATCAGCCTCACCCCAGGGCAACCAGGTAGGTCTGGCCTTTGCCCTTCTCCAGGGTGGCAACTCTTCCTGCCATGGATTGCAAAAGCAGTTTTATGATCCCACCCCACCCCCGAAGGAAGGGACTCCCCATCCCATTCGTACACAAAAGACAAATGGCTAATTGCTAGAGGCACTCCAGTCTTTTTCCCCCTAGACCTTTCCCCTCTCCACCCATTAGAGCTAGATTCATTCCTCTGCATGCTTTTCTTTGGGAAGAGAGGTGAAGATCCATTTCTGTTTTCCCCTGCAGAGACATTGCAATAGCTCAAAAACCAGACAAAGCAAATGGCAAAAGCTTTAGTAGGGAATGAAAAAAGAAAGGGTTTGCAGTCTTAAAGCTAAGAGAAGCCAGAAGTACAGCATTGTCTAATAGTTCTCGGATATAGAGGTACCTGAACTGAGTCAGAATAGCCTCCTCCTCTAAATCTTTCACAAGAAAAAGCTGAGATACCTAGGAGTGTTCATTCTTCCGACCTTACATCCTCAGATTAGATTTATATTCCACCATTTTGTACAACTCAGGAAGAGTACATAATGCTCCCAAGTCCTGTTTTCCCCACAAAACCCCCATGAGGTGGGTTGGGCTGAGGGCGGCTGACCCAAAGTCACCCAGCTGGCTTTCATGCCTAAAGGAGAACTAGAACTCCATCTCCCAATTTCTAGTCCAGCATCTTAATCACTGCGCCAAATTGGCTCACAATGGAAGTGATTCCATTGGCAGGATGAGGAAAAATTCAATACAGAAAGTGAATCAGACCTTCAGGTTACAACATCATCATGATTAAGCTGACTTCATAGTGGTGCTTCCTAGAACCTGCCACTGCTGCTGTAGAGAAGGACTACCCCTTGTTGTTCTTCAAATCAAAAAATGCTGTACGCATACTTTTTCATTCTTTTGCTTAGCAGTTGCACATCTACTTTCTTCAGCTCAGCAACACTCTGTCCATCATCGGCATCCCAATGCAGGGTCCAGGCTTTCTCTTGTTCATCTTATTCTAGATTAGCATTTACTAGTTAATAAATAAAAAAAACCCCAACCTCTGGCGATCTTCAAGAATGATGGGAAAGCTGCAATTAATAAATAAGCAGAGCTGCTTTTTTTCAGTCTTCATTTCCCCCCTTCTCCCCTCCCCCCAGAAGCATGCAGTATTGAGAATATGGGTCCAGAAGGTTGTTCTTTGACTATCTACCAATCCCCTTGAACCAAACTTGCATTTAGGGACTATGAGAGCCCTACTGCACTTTTTAAACCTACAACATACTTTTCAGCCTTTTCCAGTTGTCAGCCATATTCTTGCTCTAGCTTCCATTTTCCAGTTCTCTTTTCATTTTGAATATTCTAGATGACTTCAAGTCATCAAGTTTTGTTAGAATTTTTCTGGCCCCTAATTTAAACAACACAAAGTTCGGATTGGTTAACCTCTCTCAGTGAGAACTGACTCTTATTTCTATCAAAACCAAATTTAAAATGTACAAAAGATCCTTTCCTCTAACCTACTTGTGACCAGGTTTCCTTAAAATCTGTCTTTATGAAATGCTTTACCAAGTTTTTTGATAGTTCATTGGCACTATCCTTTGCAGTCCCCTTACCTTCCCTTGATCTATGGCTTTTATAAAGATGACTAACAGATGGCTGAGTATACAAGAGCCCTCAGGTGTCAGCTTGTTTTCTGCATTTAAAAGTTATCTCATTTCATTCCCAACTGGGGAAGCTGGGAACATTCATAAGTTTGTGCATGATCCGGTTTACCAGGGCAGTTTCAAATGTTATGACAAGAAATCAAGAATCTCTCAAAAGCTGTGCATTTCAAACTTCAGGTAATCCAAAATGCTCCTAACTTTATATGCAACATTTCCCATCCTTTTGTGGTATGAATGCAACTGAATCCAAGGAGAAACTATGGAGATGAGGATGTGGGCTATCCTACTTGGACTAGTTTTCAATGGTTCCTAGAGACAAGTGCATTCAATATGGGATACGGTTATATACGTGTACCTACAAGACAAAAACGCTTAACCCACACATGAATGCTTGAATTACAGGGGTGATTGAGTATAGATAGAAAGGCTTAAGAAATTCCTACCCTGATTCCAGTTCTAGCCAAATTATGGTTCCATTACACTCTGCTTAAAGTAATAGCTAAGGAGGTTTTTGTCATCCATGTAATTCAAGCACTGCCAGACCCTGAAAGCATCAGACTACTTCTTTCATTTATATTAATTTACAAACTTTTCCATGTTGTCCCCCAAATTATAAAAGTTTAATATTAATTATATACCATTTTGTTCCACAATCCCCTTGCTTTGTATCCCCACCAAGCGTGTAGCTGATATATCTAGTATAGGTTCTGTCTGAGCACCACAAAACTAAGACAGAAATTCAGCTGTTGTAGTCACTCATCGCTTCTTTTGCGTTGTTGAAGGCAGAAGTCCATGATTTGCGAGTTTTCCTGGACTCACAGTTCCTCACAGCAGATAGAAGCCATGGCCAGGAAGGCCTGATCCCACTTTGTCTGGTGCACCATTCAATGCTCTATTTGGACTGGGAAGCCCTTATGACAGAAAGTGCTATACACGCCTTCTAATGGATCTCCTTTGGAAGATGATTTGGAGACTGCAGTTAGTACAGAATGCAGAGGCCCGGCTGCTGTTAAGAACAGGTCATTTCAATGGTGTTACACTTGTCCTGAAGTCACTCTTATGATTACCAGTTAGTTCTGGATCTAATTCTAAGTGCTGGTTGCTTCTCTATGAAGTCCTACATGGCTCAGATTCCACTTACCTTCAGGACTCTCTCTCCCAACTAGATTCAACCCATTCAGTGAATTCTTCCCAAGAGGCGGTGCTTAGGATCCCTACCATACAAAAGATTAAGCTGGTAAGGAATTGTAGCCAATTTATTTTGGTGGTGTTATTGACACTGTGGAACAGCTGAAGTTCAATGGGCCTTCTCTTTCTGGAAGGCCCTGAAGAGTTTTATTCTAAGAAGCATTTGATCACTGCCTTTTGGGGCAGATATTGTTTTAATATTGTGGCTTTGAAGTTTGAAGGGCTGGACAAAAGAGTGTGTTAAGATTGTTCTGTTTCTTTTCTTTCTTGAAAACCACCTTGAGTCATTTTGATTGGAAGGAATATAAGTGTATGTATAAATAGAACAAGTAAGTACACCAGAAAAATACGGGAAAGATACATGACATTAACCTAAGGTGCTTGGCCATCTCAGGCAACAAAAGATAATTCACAACTCATCAGGCAGGGACTTCCTGCAAGACTTCTGGAAGGAATGCTTGGAGAAAAGCTGTTTGTTTAGCATCACATTGCAAAATCTCTCTGTACCCTTCTCCCCATTTTCTCTCATAGAGACAGGTACTCCTCCACCCTAGTGAGCCATTTGTGGATTCTGGGTTTAGTCTCTTCTGATGTAAACATGTTCTAAAACTAAAGAAAGGAATTCCATAATCAGGCTCCTGTGGCTCCAAAGTACAAACTGGCACAGGGCAGACTTTAGTGCTTCATTAACACTCTGATGAGGCCTGGCAGCCAGCTGATTTGATTTAAAGTTCATTTCCATGCTGTGATTTAAGGCAACGTTTGCTTAATGTTCTCTAACAGACTTTTCTGACTGTGAGCATAAGAGTTGCTTAACAATGGGCTTTATTTATTGTTGCATACTCATGGTAATGACAGCACACAGACATGCATATTGGGAGGAAAGCCTCTTGCAGGTGCTGCATAACAATTTCTCAGATGCATCAGGAAAAAAAATTCATCGCACCATCAGTTTAACCAGTTGTTTTTTCTTTTCCTTTCCTCCCAGCAGCCAAGGGCTATAATAATAGTAGCAGTAGTAGTAATAATTATTACTACTATTACTATTACTATAATACCAGATCAGTGAAAAATTATGCAGCTAAACAGATAAAAACCTTTCCATGATTTTCTGATCTTCCTGGGATTGACAAAGATTTCAGGTGAGGGGACCTCTGTTGAGTAAACCAATCAAGCAAGCAGAAAAAGAGGTGTATCACAGACTTTTTTTTTTCCAAAACAGGTATTGTACTTGACCAAGAAGAGAAGACAGGAGACCAAAGAAGGGTCTGTCATATTTTAATGACGTTGATCTTTGGTGTTTCCCTCATTAGCACACACTCTCCCCCACCTTCCTGCTACAAGCTCACTGGGATGGAGAGTTACAAATGAAAAGGAAAATCACATTGTTGACTAGAAACAAAAAAAAATATCAGAGCCTTGATTTCTCCACTAGAAACTACATGTACAAGGTCAAGGTTTCACATGCAACACCTTACATCACAGACACATAACTCACGCCCTGACATGGAGCTAACCCCTCTCTCCCACCCCACATCCTACCCCTAACAGGGAAGTGCAACCTGGCCATGGCACCATGATCCTGCCAAATTTCACCAGATTGAATTACAATATGCTACTATTGGCACAGCAAGAGTTGCTAAGCCTTGGGCAATTTCTGTATAAGTGCCATCTTTTTGGGGGAATGGGTCCCACCCTACCCACATGCTTTACAACTATAGGTTGCCCCACCCACAGCAGCCCTTATAAAGGCTCTGCTTGCATACAAAGTAGATATTCTGAAAACAAAAGGCCCACACTCCTGAGAGGTTCCTGAGCATGAAGAAATTGAGACGCCCAAGCATAGCTCTCCTACCTCCAGTTCTGGGCTGGAAAGAAGAGTGGAACACAGTCCTGGAAAACAGTGCTGTGCCTTATCCAGCCTACATTCTTTCAAGCCATCCAAATTCTGAACTTCTGAAGAGTTTTCTAGTGCTTACTAGCAGTGTGGCATGGGATAAAACTCTGGATTGGAAAATGGAGCCACTCTGGTTGCAGAACCTAGGTGCAAATTTCCTCCACAGTAGCATTTAAAGATATATACACAATTCAGTAAGATTGAAGGTCTCTAAGGGAAGAGACTCGAGTCCCCTTGATCCGATTAGCTGGTAGGTCAAGAGAGGGGAAAGCACTTTTTAAAAAAATAAAATTAAATTAAAAAAGAGTAGCATTAAAAGCACTGCAGGGTTAGGACAAAGCTTAATGTATTCCTGTAGCCAGTGAGCTGAGAAATTTACATAAGGCTCAGCTGAATATCAAGGTTTATTACAACTATTGTAGAAAATGTGCAGCAAAACGGATGTGGGAAGCTAAGACACAGAATAAAACCTCTTCAAGAATTCTCCCGTACAAGTTATGGTCTCCCTCTTTTATCCCACCCCTGCATATCAATGCCCACTGAATTATCAGCATCTGGTCAGAGCCAAAATTCCCCTACTCCTTCAGTTCCTGGTCAGCTGTGAGGTACAAGTCTCTGCTTAGCAGTACAAGTGTAGCACCAATATACAATCCATCTCTACCTGTTCCGAGACTCTCCACTGGTGCTCTCATTACTATAGAAATTGGTATTGTCAGGAAGATGATTATTATTAGTTAGATCACTATACTCAACTGGTCCCTCAGTGTCCATTGAGGAGTGAGCCTGCTCTGATAGGCTTTGCTCATCAGCTTCTTCCTCAACCTCATTAGATGATGTCTGTGGGCTGAGGCCACGTTCTGTCACCTGCATGGACTCAGAAAGGGTCCGTCCCTCTAACTCAGTTATCAGCTCTTGCGAAGTCGATGGCTGAGTTGAGCCCCCTTCTATCCCAGTGGATTCGGTACCAGTCTGAGAACTGCGGTGGATCCGGTGACTCACAATTATGTTGTTGCCAAAACCACCCATGGATGCCATGGTAGTGCTTTGCTCTCGTTGGACCACAGCTGTCATGCCACCTTCAGCCATCAGCCTTTGGATCCTAATCAGGGCATCCTCTCCAGTTGCTCCATAATCTGTACCACCTGGAAGAAAGAAAAAGGCACCTTTAAAAAAAAAAAAAAAAACTTTTAAACTTTATATTAGCTCAAAAATTGGTCACTGAAGCAGTTTATGACATTATTTAAAGTAAACAGTTATACTAAGAACAACAAACAAGTGGCAACAGAATCTAGGAATATATCCTATTATAAGTTAAGAAAAACAGTATTTTTATTTCGTGTCTGAGAAATAGAAACATATGTTAAAGGAATGAAGATACTGATGCAAACAAGTCAAGAAAGAACATGATGGTAGTATCTCCTAGAAAATTTTAGAGTACCCAAGCTGTTGAGAATCCATTTACCATTTCCTGATAGCACAAACATACATATTTCCTCAATGCACACTGCACACACTTACTTGTTGCCCTCATTTACATCTACCTTTAGGATTGTGTTATTTTGTAGGGTTTTTGAAGTAGAAATATTTCCATAAAGTTTCTATATTCTTCTACTGGAATTCATTCTACTTTGGGCTGGAATGTATCTGCAGAGGCTGATTAGGGATGGAGGACATCTGGATGACCAGATGCAGTGCAATCCCAAAGTTGGCTGGAGGAAGCAGTACTGCAGAAAGAGAGGATGGTGGAGACAGTGAAGGTACAGGCTGGTGGGGCCTGAGCAAGGCCTAATATAGATTCTACTGTATGCCCCCTGGACTTCTGATGAGGTTTGGGTGTAGATCACCAACCTCGGTTGGGAAGAGAGGGCTGACCAAGGTTGTGTGAGCTCCCTGGGAGGCCCAGGTCCACCAGCTGCAGGGTGCTTTGGGCAGAGGGACCACAGGATCTAGCAAACACAAGGTGGGGGGTGAAGGGTGGGTGGCTGTTGTGTGTTTAGTGTTTGTTTGGGTAACTATGTTTCAGGGTGTTAGGGGGAATGGATCGATGGGCCTGGGATAAAGAAATCCAAGGTGGGGAGTGGACTGGAGGGAGATAAGAGGGTAGAGGCTGTTATTGGTACCATGATGGGCAGATATGATGGGAATATGAGGGTTGGCTGCACTTGGGGATGCCAGGAACACTGTCTGAGAGAAATCCTGATATCTTGTTTTCAGTATTCACTGTCAGGACCAGGTCAACAGATCTTTTGTAGCTATGAGCTCTGGCTGCTGCTTTTGAACATCAGGTTGCTGTGTAACACATCTGCCCTCATTCACAATTTGAGGGTCCTGACCTGGTGTGTATAATCAAGACATGGGTGGGCTCCAAAGGGGGAGTTCCCCTCTTGCAAATATACCCACCTGTGTTTTAAATCAGCCAAGACCCGGGGGAGGGAGGTGGGGTGGCTATTGTCATCCGTGAGTCACTGAGGTCCCTTAGAGGCTCTGCTCTACAGTCTTTGGGAACAGTTGGGACAGCTGCTGGTGTACCACCCTCCCTGCTGTCCAGCATCATCCCTGCTTGAGTTGCTGGATTCCATGGCTGGGTTGGTGGCAGAGTCCCTGAGGCTGATGGTCTTTGGGGACATTAATCTGCCACCTGGTGATACTGAAGTTGAGACAGCTCAGGAATTCATGGCCCCATGGCAACCATGGACCTGTCCCAAGTAATAGAGAGCTGGACATATTCCAGGAGTCACATGTTACATCTGGTTTTTGTCTTGGGGCAGTTTCAGTTGATCTGGGATTGGAGGACATTACCATCAGTCTGTTGCCATGGACAGATCACTCTTTGGTTGCCCTCTGGCTACTTGGTGCCACCCATCCCTGTGGCTCTCCAGGGCCTGTTAGATCAGCCCACCACAGGCAACTGATGGGCCCTGAAGGGTTCCAGAGGGAGCTTGGGGTTTTCCCTGAGAATCTGGCAGGTGGTTCAGCTGAGGCCTTTGTGGTGGCCTGGAATATGTGGCTTCTCTCTGTGCACCAATCCTGGGGTGCACCTTGGTTCTCTGAGGAGCTCCAGGAGATGAAGCATCAGAAGTGACACCTGGAGTGCTGCTGGAGCAAGACAAGAAGTCAATCTGGCCGAACAAAAGTCAGAGCCCATATTTAGGCCTACATTGTGGCAATAAGAGCAGCAAAACAATGTTATTTTTCTGCCCTTATTGCATCCACTGATAGCTACCCAGTGGCCCTGTGCAGAGTAAACCGCTCATTGTTGAGGGCTGGGCCCCAGGACCATCTGCAGGGTCAGGGCAAGAAGCATTTACATTGTTTGCCAGACAAAGTCATTCAGATTTGCTTAGAGTTGGATATTGACTGGGTATTTAAGTGAGGTGCCAGGGGCACAGTCTTGTGAGGCTATCTGGACTGAGTTCAATTCTGTGACAACTGAGGAAATGGACAAAGTCCTCCAATCTGCCAGCTCGATCACCTGTTTGTTAGATCCTGGCCCCTCCTGGGTTGTCAAGATGGCCCAGGAAGTAACTAAGGGTTGCATCCATGCAGTGGTACCTTCTCCTTTAAGGGAGGCAGTGGTCCTTCCAGCCTTGAAGGAGGCAGTGGTATGCTCTTTCCTGAGGAGGCCATTGCTGGACCCTTCTGTTTTGGGCTAATTGGTCAGTTTCCAATCTTCCCTTTGTTGGGAAAACTGTGGAGAAGGTGGCTGGATGGCAATCACAGAGACTCTTGGAAGAAATGGATTATCTGGACCCATTTCAGTCTGGCTTCAGACCTGGGTATAGTATGGAGAAAATGCTGGTCATGCTTATTGATGACCTTTGGTTCAGCAGGGATGGGGGCGGTACATCCATCCTTGTGCTCCTTGATTTTTCAGCAGCTTTCAATACTGGTGACCATGGTATCTTTCGGGACTGATTGCAGGGATTGGGAGTGGGAGGCACTGTGTTGCACTGGTTCACTTCCTCCCTCAGTTGTTGGTTCCAGTGTTGATGGGAGGGGAAAGATCATGCCTGCGGCCCCTCACTTGTGGGGTGCCTCAGGGTTTGACACTTCTCCCTTCCTGTATAACATCTATGTGAAACTGTTTGATGAGTATGCAGATGATACTCAGCTTTACAGATACTCAGATACTCTACCCCAGACTCCACAAGTGAAGCTGTTGAGGTACTGACTGAGTATCTGGAGGGTGTTCAAGTCTGGATGGGGAGGAAGAGATTTCAGTTCAATCCTGCCAAGACAGAGTGGCTGTGGCTGTTTAGCCCCCATGTTTGGAGATATTAACTTCCTTATTCAAGACTTGTACGCAACTTGAGAGTCTTCCTGGACTTGCAGCTACTGCTTGAAGAGCTGGTGGCAGCTGTGGTCAGGAGGGCCTTTGCACAGGTACATTTTATGTGCCAGTTAAGCTCTTTTCTCAGCTGAGAGGTCCTGAAGATGGTTACTCACACCCTGGTCACTTCACAACTAGACTACTGCTGCATTGGCTACTGATTTTGGGTACAATTCAAGGTCCTGGTTACTTTTAAAGCTCTTCATGGTATAGGGCCTGGTTATCTGAGGGACTGACCACCTCTCTCCCATGGTTTGTGCCTGCCTAATACTTTCAGGCAGAGTGGGTACGCTCCAGATCCCTTCTATTAAATGCTGCCACCTTTTTGGACCTAGGAAGCAAGTCTTCTCTGTTGTGGGCCCCACCTGCTGGAACAGCATCACCTAAGAGATACAGATGGCACCCATTAATACCTGGCTTTGGTCCCAAAGGGTGGGTTGGTTATTTATTTATTTATTGGACTTACGTATATGGTCACCTATCTCATACAATGACTCCAGGCAACTCACAACAAAGTTTGCGGGGGGCAGCTATTGCACTGCATTTTAATGACTGTTTTTAGTTCAGACTGTTTTGTCTATGTTTTTCATTGTTTTATCTTGTATTAGATTATGCAAGCTGCCCAGAGGCTGTTGGGGTGGTCGCTATAATAAATTTAAGGAAACAAATAAAATAAAATATGTGGGAGCTAAAATAATCAAAATCTCAAGACAAAAATATTTGCTGACAGACTGTACCATTACATGCTGTGACTGGGGACTAAGTGTTTGACCTCATAAAAGTATTTTATATACACCCAAAATTTGCACACAACACATTCTACACTGTTGGAACTCAAAATAGTTTCCATGTTCTTGTACACTCTGAGTCTTCAAGGAAGGAACAAAAGGACAAAAAGGAGAAATGTAGTATTTGGTTACTTTCTACTATAAGGAACAGAAATTAGTACATGTCTGCTGGACCTGGTGGTCTCCCTGAAGCATGGATGAAGAATATGGTGGACCAGCTGCTCATCCACCTAGGTATAAATCCCAATGTAAGATCAAATCCACAGGCAGGAGTCTCTACCTGCTCTATCCACATATTGATATCATCAAGAATAGTATAAATGCATAACTTCAGGCTTTAAAGATCTGGGAGAGAGTTGAAGAACTTTGGGGCTCAAGTGGGGTTCTCATCCAGAAAGGGAAAGAATACTACAGGCAAAAGACTGGCTGAATATGTTGGAAGAAATATTACTGGGTTACCTGGATGATGGACTGTTGGTACCAGATGGATTGTCCTTCCCAAAGACTAGGAAGAATGTGTTTGGCTGAACCAAGTCAAATTTGATTGGGTAGCATAGGATGAAGTGATAAAAACAATCTCAGGAGAAAGACACCCAGAAATTAAAAACTTCAGATAAAAACTTGTGTACTGAAAGTAACTCCATAGTGACTCCTAGCCATAGGCAGGTTTAGCATGCATAAATTGGATTGCCCTCAGGACATTTTCTGTAAACCAATTTGTTTACAGATGTTATTAACTTTATTAGAGGTTAAAAATAGTTTGAGGGACATTAATAGGTTGAATCATGACAAAGTTCCCCATCTCTATTTTTTCCATTAGGTTTTAAGTTTACCAACCATAAATTATGCAACTGCATTTACAAGAATGGAACCATCATAATTGGATAGTTTGCATCTGGTAAGCTTAAAATCTTGATCTTCAAGCTTATGTCCCACTGCATTCTTAACAGCTATCCTGATGCTTTGAGACCTACTCTCCTTGCCTCGGGTGGCATTTGCTAAGTATGCTCACCTTGATTGAGAT